AACAAGGATAATTTTACATCTTCCTTTCCAATTGGATGCCCTTTATTTCTTTCTCTTCTCTGATCGTTCTAGCTAGAACTTCCAGTACTATGTTGAATAACAGTGGTGAAAGTGGGCATCCTTGCCTTGTTTCAGATCTTAGAGGAAAGGCTTTCACTTTTTCCCCATTCAGTGTGATACTAGCTGTGGTTCTGTCATATATGGCTTTTATTGTGTTGAGGTAAGTTTCTTCTATACTCAGTTTTTTAAGAGTTTTTATGATCATTTTATAGAATGCTTTTCATCATCAGTTGAAATGATCATATGGTTTTTGTCCTTCTTTCTGTTAATGTAATGTGTCACACTGATTTCTCCTAGTTTTTAGCTTGTCTTTTCATCCTCTTAATAGGGTCTTTCACAAGCAAAAGATTTTGATTTTATGGAGTCCAACTTATAAAATTTTCCTTTTATGGATCATGCTTTTGGCATCAAGTCTAACAATTTTTATTTAGCTCTAGATATGGAAGATTTTCTCCTAAGCTTTTAAAAATTGAAATATAATTCACATGCCATTACGTTTGCCCCTTTAAAGTATATAATTCAGTGATACTAAGTACATTTGTAATGTGCAGCCATCATTGCTATCTAGTTCAGAACTTTTTGATCATCCCAAATGGGAACCCTATACCCTTTAAGCAGTCACTCCCCATAGCCTCCTACCCTCAGCCCCTGGCAATCTGCTCTCTGTCTCTATAGATTTGCCTATTCGGGACATTTCATATTAATGGAATTAAAAAATATGTGGCCCTTTGTGTCTGGCTTCCTTCACTTAAGCATAATCTTTTCAAGGTTCATCCATGTTTTAGCATGTATCAGTACTCCAGTCCTGTATATGGCTGAATATTACTTCAGTGAGTGGATATACCATGTTTTGTTTATCTGTTCATCAGTTGATGAGCATTTAGATTGTTTCTAGTTTTTGACTATTGTAAAAAATGCCGCCATGAACATTCATGTACAAGTTTTTCTGTGGACGTATGTTTTTGGTTCTATTGGGTATATGCCTAGGAGTGGAATTGCTGGGTCATGTGGCAACTCTATGATTAGTTATTCATAGAACTGGTAGACTCTTTTCCAAAGCGACTGCACTGTTTACATTGTTACCAGCAATGTATGAAAGTTCTGATTTCTTTACATCCTCGCTCTCTTATACATCTTTACATTTAAGTACATGATCCATTTTGAGTTAATTTTTATAAGATGTGAGACTTAAATAGATGTTCTTTTTTTAAACCTATGCATTCTAATTGCTCCAGCACCATTTGTTGAAAAGACTTTCTTCTATTGAATTGCTTTTGTACTTTTGTCAAAAATAAGTTGGGCATATTGTGTGGGTCTGTTTCTTGGTTCTCCATTCTGTTCCATTGATCTGTGTGTCTATCCCACAGCCAATACCACAGTCTCAATTACTGTAGCTAAATATTAATAGTAAGTTTGCAATCAAGTAAACATATCCTTCCTACTTTATTCTTCTTTTCCAAAATTATTTTAGCTATTCTAGATCTTTTGCCTCTCCATATTTATTTTAGAATAATCCTGTGTATATATACTCAAAATCTTGTTGAGATTTTGATAGGAATTGCATTAAACTCATATATAACTTTAGGGAGAACTGATGTCCTTCAGACTTTTGTTGGGACTTTCGTTTGTCTGTGCCCATCGATATTCTGGGTTGTTGGCTTCTTCAGCTCTAAGTCTGGGATAAGAACTTAGGCAAGGAGAAAACCCAGGGAAATATCCACTGTGTTATTTCTTAGGTCTTGAGGTTCCTAGCAAGTCCACCTTCTCCTCTCCACCTTTCAGAATCTTCTAATATTTGTTTTATATATTATTTCCAGAGGTTTTAGTTGTACTTAGCAGGAGAAATAGGGAAAAGTATGTTTATTCCATCTTCCCATTCCAATTCATGGACATTTGTTTTGGTTTGAACAATAACTTGTTCACTTGTTTATTGTTATGATTTCCAGCTCAAGATTCTCAAAGGGATTTTCTTTTTCTGATTAAATCAATAAGATTGACAGATAAGCTATGAATTTTGTCATTCTTTTTCTTCTTGTCATAAGGCAAATTTTTATCATTTTGAATGCAGTCTTGCTGTACGTATATAATGGAGACTTTTGATCTCGTTTCTTTTGCTCAAACAGTGTCCATGTTGTTGTGAGGTTTGTTCCTTTTTATTGCTATATAGTATTCCGTCATATGAATAGACCACAATTTGTTTATCCATTCTGTGGAACGGATTGTTTCTAGATCTTGGTTGTTATGAATAGGGCTGCTGTGTGTACATTTTTGTACATGCTGTTTGGTGGATATTTCTTGCTCTCTCTTTCATATCTTTAATCAGGATTGTTTTAGTTTCACAAAATTATCTACTGAATTTATTCCTTACCTTGTTTACTATCCCATATTTACCTTTTCCTGAGTTGTAATCTCTTAAAATTCACTTAAATTAGAAGGCTTTGCTTCATGACTCAAGAAGTTTTGGATGATGAACATAGTTGTGATAAAGTAACAAGAAATATTTGGTATATAATTGGTGAGGGCAAGTTAGATGTGGTATGTGACCCTTTATCTACTTAGAATTCTGTTGGAATGTCCTCAAAGTTGACATTTGACTGCCTCTCAGACAGTCTCTGGCAGAAGGTTACCACAGTTTCCTACTCCAGTGCCCTCCAGCTCACGTTTCTAAGCTTTGGAGCCTGCCCCAGAAGGGCTTACCAGCAGAACTATCACCAGAAGAGCTGTCACCACTGCCTCATCTGTTTGGCCCTTCAGTATTGCTAGGGTGCCTTCATAGCCTAACAAAGGGAAGACCATTTGCCATATTTGTTATAATGGCTACCAATTGTATAATGTATGTATATTATGGTATGCACGTGAATATCTTTTTTTAAGAGGAGTTTTATGCAGTTAATTACAGTTAATAGTGGGAATTATTTTTCTTTAGTCAATTTATATACTATAATTTGGGAACTTTTCCCAGTGATTAAGAAGATTTTCCTTCTGCAGTAGTTATCACAGGTGATATTTAAAGATATGTGAATGGTAACATTGTAAAAATATGGTAGTTCCCCTTTATCTGCAGGGGATACTTCCAAGACCCCTATTCGATGCCTGAAACTGTGGATAGAACCAAATCCTATATATGTTGTTTTTTTCTATATGTATATACCTATAATAAAGTTTAGTTTATAAAGTAGGTACAGTAAGAGATCAACAATAATAACAAAATAGAACAATTATAACAATATGGCAGCATCACTACTCACGCACTTTGGGGCTATTAAGTAAAATAAAGGTGACTTGAACACAAGCACTGTAATATCACAACAGTTCATCTGATAACTGAGTTGGCTACTAAGTGACTAACAGGCGGGGAATGTATGCAGTGTAGACAGACATTGGACAAAGGGGTAGTTCATGTCTTGGGTGGGGCAGAGCCCAATGGTGTGAGCTTTCATCACATTACTCAGAACAGTATGCAACTTAAAACTTATGACTTGTTTATTCCTATAATTTTCCATTCAATATTTTTGGACCGCGATTTACTGTGGGTAACTGAGACCATGGAAAGTGAAAGCGTGAATAAGACAGGACTACTGTTTTAGTAAATAGTTTTTCTTTTACTTTTAGTAAATAGCCTTTCTTTTACTATATCACCTGGTTACAATCATAGTTAATCAGTATACTTTTCGAATTAAAAGAATATTTTCATATTCTATTTGATCATGTTCTGAGATGTTTAAGATATAGTTTAATAATACATTCCTCCCTCTTCCAACCATGGAAAAAGTAACCGGGCATCATTTCCATATAATTAATTCAGTATGATTTCCTTTTTTTAAAAAAATGGTCTTTTCTTTGTATTTAAAATATAAAAATTCTCCTATTTCTTTCTTTCTGTCCTCAAAAATCCACTGTGGGTGATACCGTTTTTGCTGATACACAGCTTTATCAGGTATGACTCCTAAGTGTCATGTTGGACTCCACAGATGTGTTGTTGAAGTTTTCAAAGGAAAAACTTTCCACACTGACTCTTCCACGTTTACTCGATCAGTATTTATGAGTATCTTATGAACATTATTGGGCTTTAAGATTGGGTGGTCTTTGTTTCAAAAACAAGCTTGCCAAATTTATTACACCTTTATTTCAAAAAGAAGTTTTGAGTGTTTTCTTCAAATATATTGTTTTATGTCTTTGACTTTCTGCATTTTTAATCTGTGTGTAATTCTCTGTGTTTTTCCTGTTTACCTGTATAAGTGTTTGTATACTTATCTGTATTATTCTTAACATATATATGTTTTTAAAAACAGATACATATTCTTAACCAGAACATTCCTAACCATGATACATGTTCCTAACCAGACTTTTTTCAAACTGTGTTCCATGAAATATATTAAGTTGAGATACTAAGTAGAGTTGCACAAAAAATGTCATCAAATAAGTTTATTCCTCCTTGAGAGATTCAGAATACACATTAGCATAGTAAAGCTTTCAGTTTCATACAGTAAAGAAGTTGTTTATCGTTGCTTATCTCAAGAAATATTTGAGTGTGGAACACTTCATAATATGCAGGGGTATTTCGGGCATTCTGATTTGGGAAATGCTGAAAAAAAGTTATGAGTAAGATTTCCTTTGTAGTGTTCAAGTAAAAGTGACTACAAGTAATTAAATTTTTAAGAGGTTAAAGCATTTAGCTGAATTGTATTTTGGAAGTGTATTTTTTTGTAGAAATTACATTTTGAAGTGTAGTATTGATTTTTCACCTGCATGGTATCATCTCTTTCAGTACTTTTGATAGCTTTTAAAAAGAATTTGTATAACTATAAAAATTCTGCTTTCTTTTTGGAAGGAGGTTTTTCTTTTTTTTTTTTTTCCCCATTATTGTCATTGTTTTCTTGATTGTTTCTCCTCTACAGGAATTTACTTTTATCTTTAAAAAAGCATGTTTACTGTTTCAGATAGCGTGACACAGGAAAGGAGGCCTCCCAAACTTGCCTTTATGTCAAGAGGTGTTGGGGACAAAGGTTCATCCAGTCATAATAAACCAAAGGCTACAGGTATGGATTAATAGGATATAATCCTTAGTAATTTCCATGGTGTCTGACTTGCAAGGGCATTAAAAAAGATTATAAGCTATTATCCCTTAACATATATGTGGACTTTCTCCTTTAAAATATTTTTAGTTAAACTAAAACTTTTATATAAATATCGCTGTTTAAGCCTAGAGTTCCCAACCTTTTTTACCTGATGAAAAGTTTCCCATGAGGACCTGTGTGTTTTGCTTGTCCATAATCAGCTGCTTTTTAAAACTCCCTACTTGTAACATTCATACATATAGTTTAGAATTGCAACTATATAAAATAATCATGTGTGGGTAATATTAGCTAGGAGAAACTATCCTAGAGATTAATTATGTGGTTTTGCTAACTAGATGTGGCACAAATTAAATTCCAAATTGCTAAGCAGAAATTTTTGTCTCTTTTCCACAAGCTTCCTCACAATACGTGTGGAGTTCACAGGTTTTTTTTATTAGCTTCCACATACTTCATAAATTTATGGGATGGTAGTTTTACCAGCCAAACAGCTCATTTAATAAGCCGTAAGAATTTTTGTTAACTCACTTGTGGGTTAGGAGAAGAGTGGTTTTTCCTCAATTATTTAGTGAATAAAACTATTTGGTTTCATTTAAAAGGAAATTGTACTTTAAGAATTATTTTATGTGACATTGGGCCCTGGGAGACTTAGGACTAATTGCAGGATATATAGGTAATAGTATTTTTTATGTTAACCTATAAATCTATATAGGATAGCTCAAACTTGCTACTCTCACTTAACTGGAAATAGCCTAAAGATTTCCTCAAGTCATGGTGTGTTGTGTGGTAGCAGATCTTGGTTACAGCAGGTAAGTGTGGAGCCACCTGCTTTAAAGGTAAAAAAAAAAAATCACCTTTTGTGTGGGTTCTGGAGACCCCACTGCTCCTCACTGTGACATGTTCTCTAGTTAATACCAACGTGGGGTAGCATCTTGAAATGGCTGTGACATAGCTTCACTAACTCTTAAATTTAACAAAGCCGATATATAAGACATAACAGTGCTTTACTTTTTCAAAGACATGAGGAAATGAAGCAAGGAATTTGATGACCAAACAACTCCAAAATGTTTAAACCATAACTCTTTTTGGACTTAATTTGGGCATTGATTTGTATATAGCATTTGAAGAGTACCTTCTTCTGAAATGAGCTGTTTTAAAATAATAGTTTAAATTTGTGAACCAATGAGTTCATCAAGTGAAGTTGGGGAATGATAATTTTGACATTTAGAAATAAGCTATAGTACATGGAATGATTTCTTAAAGCAGTTCGTTTTTTTAAAAAAATGAGCAAGCTTTTCTTTTAACTTATTCCCACTCCCCTCCGATATTGACTTTTGGGTCAAAGAATGTTTTTAACATTGCCAAAATGTTTATGAAGCTTTTTAAAGGTGAAGGCAATAATAAAATATATTGTGTTTGTATATATCTGTTGATTGTGTAAATAGTTGTTAACACCATATTCATATTAATTTATCTTACTGAAAAATTTGATACTATATTGACTTTATTTTTAAAAGGAACTTTTCTTGTTCTATAGGATCTACCTCAGACCCTGGAAATAGAAACAGATCTGAATTATTTTATACCTTAAATGGGTCTTCTGTTGACTCACAACAACAATCCAAATCAAAAAATACATGGTACATTGATGAAGGTAATCTATAATTTTCATGATCTTTATAAATGATCCTTTCTTTTAACTTATCAAAGAAAAGTGGCTTTTTCACCAGTATTTGTCATTTTTGGAAACAGAATGGGTAGATCATTTTTTATAATATTGGTGAACTGAAATATTTTACATAATTTGAACTGTACTGCTTTAAGATTAATAAAGCATTTGAAAATGTATTAGTAGCATATTCTCTTCCCTTAATTGATCTGTTTAGGGCAAAAGATCTTCAGAATCAATTGAGTAATTTGAGGACTTTTCTGTCTGGGTCTTTCCTGCCCTTTTTAAGGCACCCCCCTTTTAAAAACTATTTTCCTTTCGTTCTGGGACATCATTTTCTTCTAGTATATTCTCTTTTTTTATTCATCTGTTCAACAGATATTTATTGAGTGCCTACTATGTGCCAGGCATTCTTTTAGGCACCGAGATAACAATGGTGAGAAGAAATAGACATGGTCCTTGCCCTTTTTGAGTTTATAGTCAAGTTGTTAAGCTAGAAATTAAACAGTCGCAGAGTCGGATGTAGCATTTCCTTGGTGATGGGTGCAGTGAAGGGACATGAAGCTCTGAGAACATGCTAGAGAGGATTTTATTCAGGGGCTCAGGGTGTTTCCCTGGGAAGTGACACGCACTTAGGGTTACCAGAGGAGTGGTAGGTAACAAAGTGAGAGGGGGCAGAAGAGCTTTTTAGGCAGAGGGAATAGCATATGTAAAGGGAAGAATGGAACTTGGTGTTGCCAAGGACCAGAACAGAGAGAGGCATAACATTTTATGTGATGAGAATGGGAAAGCAGACAGGGCCAGCCCCTGTGGAGCCTAGTTGCCCTATTAAAAGGGAAATGGGAGCCACCGATGGATTTTTAGCAAGGGGTGGCGTGACCAAGTTTGCCTCTTGGAAAGATCATTCTCACTGCAGAGCAGATAATGGGTTGAAGTAGGGACTGAGTGAATGCAAGGTCACCACTGGAGGCTGTTTCAGGGCCCAGAAATAGATTACAGTAGCTGGGACTAGACTTGGGGAAGAGATAGAGAGAAGTGAATGGATATAAGAGATATTTAGGAAGTGCATTGACAGACCTTACAGATAGACTGGAAGTGAGAGTTAAGGAAGAAAGAGAGATCAGTGGTGACTTCTGGTTTTCTGGCTTGCCTACTTAGATGGTGGTGGAGGAAGATGGATTTGACTTGGAAAATGTTGAGTTGAATGGGCTTTTTAAAATTCCTAGAGGCAATTTGTCAAATAGGCAGTTCATGTACAGGTCTGAAGCTTAGAAGAGAAATAAGAGCTGGAGAAATAAATGTGTAGGTTGGCTTCACTTTCGTGGTGATTAAAATCCTGTGAATAATATTGCCTAAGGATGGAGTAAGGATGGAGGGTGTGGGTTAAGACTGAACCCGAGGAACTTAATGGCTGGGGTGGGAGGAAGGTAAGTTGTTAAAGGAGTCAGAGAGAAAGTGACCAGAGAGGTGTGGGGAAGACCAGGAAGCCAAGGATCAAGTGGATAGTAGTACTGAACGCGCTTGAGAGGGAGGTCGGATGATGACCACACAGTGCCCGTCAGATTTAGCCACCTGGAAGTCACTGATAACCTTAGTGAGTTCTGTTTTTGTGGAGGAATTTTGTCAGAGGACAGATAGGAGTGTGCTGAGGGTGTGGAGAGGAGGAAATGGATCTGTGAATCCAGCTGTTAAAATAGAAGTTTGGGCTTCATCATGCACGTTCTCTCTCTCTCCCTCTCTCTCTCTCTCTCTCTCTCTCTCTCTCTCTCTCTCTCTCTTTCTCTCTCATTGGTCACATCCTGTTGTCACCAAGTTGTCTGGATTTCCTCCTCTTTAGTATCACTGGACTCTTTCCCTTTGTCTTCACTTCTGCACCCATGGCCTTAGTTCAGATCCCCGTTCCTGTCTGGATTAATATGGTGGCTTCTGACTGGTTTCCCTGTCTCAGTCAGTCTTGTTCCTTTCGAATTTATTCAGAACAGTAATAACCACGGTCATCTTCTTAATCATCATTGTCATCACTGCAGCCGCCTCTTAGTGACCACTCTGTACACTTGCTAAGCACTTTATATACCTTATTTTACCTTATCCTCATAACTTTATGAGGTAGACAGATATTTTTACATACTTCTTTGTTACAGTGGTGGAATCGCTTGTACGAGGTCACACGGCTAGCAGTCGTGGAGTCAGTATTCCAACCCAGATCTGTTTGATACCGGTGCTCACACTTTTACTTGCCACACTGTGTTTTTCTTCATATTCCTATCTAAGTGAGTTTTTTGTAGCTCTCTGTTCAAGTCTCTCCTTTGCTTAGTACCTATTAATGTTTCCCTAACCCTTGAAGATAGAAATCCAAATTCCTTACTTTGGCATGTTGAACTCCTGATGGTGTGACCTCTTACTCATCTCTGTCATTTCCCCTGCACCAGCCATACTGGACTGGGGCCATTCTTGGGACATGCCGTGCTTTCTCTTTCTGTGCATGTTGCTCCTGCTGCTTGGAAATCCTTCTTCCTCTTCCTCCAGCTTTGTAGTCTGGTTTACTTCTATCCATTTCTTAAATCTCAGCTTTTTAGTTTATCTAGAAAGCCTTTCCTTTCTTTTCCCACTTCTTCTAGGTTAGGTTAAGTGTAATCATAACTGTTCTGTATTCTTGGCTGTCTCTTTTGCTGGACTGTGAATTCCTAGTGCTTAGCATAGGGCTTGGCATATAGTAGATTTAGTAATTGTGTACAAACTAAATGAAAATAAGAATTTAAGAGTACTGTAGAACTCTATAATGACTTTTTTTTTTTTTTTTTGAGACAGAGTCTCACTATGTTGCCCCGGCTAGAGTGCCGTGGCGTCAGCCTAGCTCACAGCAATCTGAAACTCCTGGGCTCAAGCGATCCTCCTGCCTCAGCCTCCCGGGTAGCTGGGACTACAGGCATGCGCCACCATGCCCAGCTAATTTTTTCTATATATATTTTTAGTTGTCCAATTAATTTCTTTCTATTTTTAGTAGAGACGGGGTCTCGCTCTTGCTCAGGCTGGTTTCGAACTCCTGAGCTCAAACAATCCGCCTGCCTCGGCCTCCCAGAGAGCTAGGATTACAGGCGTGAGCCACCGCGCCTGGCCTATAATGACTTTTAAGCTATCATAAGGATTCAGTTATAGGCTAAAACACATCCATCAATCTAACAATAAAAATCTGCTACTACGTGAGTTGGGGTTAGATACTTACCCACCAATATAACAGTAAAAATCTGCTGTTACGTGAGTTGGAGTAGTATCATGTGGGAAGTAGCTTGAGTGAGCAATCTTTGATTTTATCTTCTCCATGCCTTCATTCTTCCTAAGGAAAGGAATCTAGTAAAACTACAGGTTTTTTAGTAATCTAGGTAACATCCGTTCTTCAAGTTTATGCTATGATTTTATCTTTATTATTCTTACTACAGATTCTGTATTGTAGTAGAATATTCCTAACTTCTTGATTCTACTAGACTCTGGTCTAATGTTATATAATAATTTCAGGAAGGGATATGGGTCCTAAAAGACGTACATGGAATGTATAAAGCAGTGACATTTGTGTGGAGTAGGGCTGCATCCTTAAGTTAGAAAATAGAAGTAATTTAGTGGTAAAAGAACATTATTTTTATGGTTAATTTCACTTATACATTTAAAAAACTTTTCTCTACAATATTTGATTCATTTATTCACTTTTTTTTTAAAAAACAAATATTTTACAAGTTTTTTTTTTATGCACCTTGTCTCCTTGTTTCAGTGTACGTATCTGAAGCCTTCCAATAGCTTTTTTAGCATCTTTGATTCATTTATTCACTTTTTTTTTAAAAAACAAATATTTTACAAGTTTTTTTTTTTTGTGTGTGTGTATGTGTATATGTTAGTGGCTATACCAAGTGCTGTGGATTCAGCCATGGAAAAGACTAACCAAAATTGCTTTTCTTGTGAAGCTTACATTCTAGTTTTATAGTATATGGTAGAGAGATGTTCAGACAGACAAGGTGAAGTCGCTTGTGACATGCGCAATGAAGGAAGCGAAGAGGGTGGTAGCAACCAGAAGCTGCCTACCACAGGGTGGTTTGGAAAAGACTCTTTGAGGAAAGGGTATTTGGGTTGAGACCTGGATGATGAGAATGAACTTGCAGGGAAGGAGCCTGGAGAGAGCAATCGAGGCAGAGGAAATAGTAAGGGCAAAGGCCCTGAGCACGAAAGCGCATTTGAGAAATAGGAAGTAGGCCAGGGTGGCGGCAGCGTAGTAGGAAAGGGAAGGAGGTGTGTGAAATGAGTTTGGAGAGCTACGTGGGAGCAAGATCGTCCAGGACCTTGTAGGTCTAGGTAAGAAATTTAGTACTTATTTTAAGAATACTGGAGAGCCATTAGAAGGTTTTGAAATAGGGAATGATAACGATCACCTAAGATCTTTATATTTTAAAAAGATTTTACTAGTTGCATGATGAACAGATTGGAGAGGGGCAAGAATGGAGACAGAGGTAAGAGGCTGGTTACAGGGAGAAAGGTGATGATGGCTTGGATTAAAGAGATGCTGGTAGGGGTTAAGAGAAATGGGTGAGTTTCAGATAGAACAAACAGAAGTTGCTTATGGATTCAGGTGGTGGGCCTGAGGGGTTGAGGGTTTGGGAAAGAAAAGAATAATTAAAAGAATATTTTAGATTAAATGTTATTACTGAAGAATCTTAAATGGATAAGGTGTAAAGAACTATAGACATAAAGTAACAATGAGCACTCATGTCGTCATTACTCATTTTAAGAAAAAGACCATTATCATTACCTTTGAAACTCCCTGTGTGCCTCTTCCTAGTCCCATTATCTTCATTGTCTCCTTTGAGCTACCATCATCTTTAGTGTAATGTTTTATCATTATTTTGCTTTTCATTATAATTTTATCACTTAAGTTTGCATATCTAAACAGTATACTCTTAGTTCTTTATTTTTTGGGCTTTATGTACAAGGAATCAGATCGTATAATTGTGGTATAATTCCCCCTCAACATTATGTTCATAAGATTCATCTAGGTTGCAGTACATGATAGTAATTTATTCATTTTTATTGCTGTATAGTATTCTATGATGTGAATATACCACAATTATCCACTTGATTATTGATGGCCATTTGAATTGTTTTTATTTTATTTTCCTGGTATTATTAACATCTCTACTATTAACAGTCTTATACATGTCTAGGGTATATAACTCGGAGTGATATTACTAGGTCATAGGATATGGGCATCTTTCCTTTATTAAATAAAGTCAAACTGTTTCCCAAAGTAGTTATACCGGTTTTCACACTGTCTTAGTCCATTTGGGCTACTGTAGCAGAATACCATAGACTGGGGGGCTGGTAAACAGCAGAAACTTATTTTTCACGGTTGAGAAAACTTCTCTCTGGGAAGTTGGGAAGTCCAAGATCAAGGTGCCTGCAGATTTGGTGTCTGGTGAGGACTCCCTTCCTGGTTAATAGATGGCTGTCTTTTTGCTGTGTTGTCACACAGTGGAAGGGACAAGGGAGTTCTCTGGGACTCCTTTTATAAGGGCACTAATCCCATTCACGAGGGCTTCGCCTTTATGACATAATCACCCCCCAAAGGCCTCACCTGCAGATACCTTCTCACTGGGAATTCGATCTCCACGTATGAGTTGTGGGGGCCCAAATGTGCAGTCTACGGCACTTTCTCATCAGCACTGCATGAGGGTATCAGTTGCTCCTCATCCTTACCAACAGTTAATGTTCTTGGACCTTTAACTTTTCAAATGATGTCTCATGTTAGTTTTGGCTTTCATTTATATATTTATTTGCTAATGAGCGCAAGAATCCCTTCATTGATTTGTTGGTGATTTGGGTTTCTTCTGTGAATTGCCTTTTCAAGTCGTTTGTCTGTTTTTTTTTCCAGTTTTTTGTCTTTTTCTTATTGATTTATAGACCTTTTCCAAGTTTGCATCCTTTGTGAGCTATATGGATTGCAAATATTTTCTTCTAGTTTGTGGCTCAGATTTCACTCTTGCTATGATACCTTTTAATAAACAAGTAGTTCTTGATTTTAATGTGGTGATATTTATCAATCTTTTTTCATTTATGGTTTGTATGCTTATGTTTAAGAAATTTCTACCCTGGAGTCATAAAGAACATTCTTCCATATTGCCTTCTAAAAGTTTATAGTTTTTCCTGCCGCTTTTGCTTTTAAGCCACTTGGAACTGATTTTTGTGCAGAATATGAGTAGGATTCCAGTTTAATATTTTTAAACATATGGAAAACTGATTATCTCAACACCAGTAAGTAGTTCATTCTTTCCTCACTCATCTGTCAGCTGTATTAGTCATTTTAAGGAAATAGCTTTTGGTTCTCTTTACTGTTTATTTTTTTCTCTTAAATATATTCTGTTTATTGTTTCTTTGGGCTTTAAGTTTCTTTATCCTATATTTGTTTTCTCTTTCTGTTCTTTATTCTTTTCTACTTTTGGGGAGGTTATTCTGTTCTTCAAAATTCTTAAGTTTATGCTCAGTTCATATTTAGCTTTTTTTTTTCTAAAATAGACTATTAAGTCTATAAATTTCCTGTATAAGTATTAATTTAGGTGTGTTCTACAAGTGTTCTTTCTTTCTTTTCCCTGTGTCCTTCTCTTTCTCTTTTTTCTTTATTTTTAAAAGTTATAGTTCCTCTTTGATCCATTAGTTATTTAGAAACGCTTCTTACATCTTTTGTTATCTTTTTGTACTGAATTTTGACTTAAAGAATATAACCTATATCATACCAATTGCTAATAGATTTTTTGATTTGAACAATTGGGTGTTATTTACTGATGTAGATAAATTTGGAGGAAGAGTGGAAGAGTAAGAATGCTGTTTTGGAAATACTGAGTTTGCAGTGCCTACAAGAATCCTAGTAGAGAGGTCGAGTGGGCAGTTGGGCTAGATCTGTCTATTAATTTTTAAAGATGTAAGGCATATTTAATGTTCCTGAATAAATTTCTCTAATTAGGAATAATTTTTTACAGTTGCAGAAGACCCTGCAAAGTCACTTACAGAGATATCTTCAGACTTCAGCCATTCTTCACCACCACTGCAGCCTCCTTCTGTGAACTCATTGTCCAGTGAGAACAGATTTCACTCTTTACCGTTCAGTCTGACAAAGATGCCCAATACCAATGGCAGTATCGGCCACAGCCCGCTTTCTCTGTCAGCTCAGTCTGTGATGGGGGAGCTGAACAGCGCGCCTGTTCAGGAGAGTCCACCCTTGGCCATGTCTTCTGGTAACTCACATGGCCTAGAAGTGGGCTCACTGGCCGAAGTTAAAGATAATCCTCCTTTTTATGGGGTGATCCGTTGGATTGGTCAGCCGCCAGGACTCAATGAAGTACTAGCTGGACTGGAACTGGTAATTTAATTTGGTTTAAAAATTGCAATTCTTTTCTGTAAAGGGTTTTGTGCAAATTTTCCCCTATTATATGTCTTTTGGCAAACTTTTCTATTTGTCAAAAAAACCATCACTAGAGAAAAATTTTATTGCCATGTTGCCTGACTTGCCTTTGCTACCCATGAGGCTTCTGACCCACTTGTTTCTAATGTTAGTTGATCTGTGTTCATAGAATGAAAGTGGATTTTTTAGACTAATATATTTAGGCTCCTTGTTTTAAACAGAATTTAGTAAGGCAGGCAAATCTGTTATCAGTTTTTCTTTTTCCATCTCAGCCTCCTTCCCCCCAGTCAGTTCTAATAGTTATATCATTAGCTTTAAAATTAATCACCATTTTCAAAGATCTTTTGAGATCTTCAGTAGAGGGAAAGATTTTCCCTTTGGAGACCAGGAAAGCATATTGTTTGACATTTCATAATCGGGAGAAGAGAAGCTGAGTACAATTTAGCTTTTATTTAAATATATTTCTTGGTTTTTTTTTCTTTTTTTTTTTTTTTTGGGGTTTTTTTCCCCAGAGGGGCGAGCGCGTCCGCAAGCTGGCCC